TTCAGGTATTTACTCATAACCCAGATATTTTCGGGTCAAGTGCCTTCTCATATTTTCACCAACGAAATATCGAGAATTTTTCTGCACTAAGTCAGGATCTTAACAATCAAATTTGTACTTAATCAAATCAAGTACAAATCCTCAAAGTACTTTATAATTCAGGGTCAACTCGGACTATTTTACCTCTCAAGAGCATTTCCGTAATTTCTTAACCAGATAACTTCGATATTAACTCTTAACGAAAATAATTATAATTTAAAGATCCTATGGTCAATTACTTTCCTTAACATTCTCTGATCTTGAAATTATTCCTTAACAAACTTTTAGTATCTTGCGCAAACCGTTTTTGGCGTTAAAACCAGTTATCCGAATTTTATAAACAAAACTATTATTTCTTATGCACATCAATATTTTTATCAGATCAATATGTCTGTAAAATCCTCTTATCTAACTTCCATATTCAAATCTTATCTTTTTATAACATAAGGGTATTTTCGTAATTTTACCCTACCAGAGTATTCTCATAATTTCTCATCCAAGTACCTTTAACATTTAACCTTTGATGAAATAAATTATAAGTTGCAGATACAGGGATGATTTCTTTATCACAGATCACAAACTTGTAATTTAATCTAACAATTCATCAATCTCTTATATTAGTTATTCAATCCGTAATTAGTTACAGAATTTCTACCACATCATATCGAGTGTATAAATTATTCAACTCCACCAAAGTGACCAACATTATCTTGTTCATGCGTTTATCAATATAAACATGTTCCATAAAGCATAAAGAGGTAGTAAAATATTACCTCGATTTTCATGCAATACTGATCGACTAAAAAAATTCCATTCGAACGCATTTGATCTTCAATTCAACTTCCAATAATTCCTCAGATACATATCAACATAAATTATATCAGAAACGGAGCTTAATTGCGATAAACGGATCGAATGGGTGATAAATGAGTGAAAAACAGCTTACCGGGTTCAAATTTGGCAAAACGGACTTCAGATTCAGATTCAGGACGTCAAAAGCATAAAACATGACTTTTCAGAAATTTAGAATTTTCGGTCAAAATCAAAGTCAACGGGTTTAATTGGCAATTTCAAGGCCTTCGGGTTCAAATTTTGAAAAACGGACTACTGAATCGGATTTGGAACGTCGAAAAATGTCAGGATAGGTATACTCGGTCAAAGTCAAAGGTCGTTTAATACCCGGTCAAAGCCTGTCAAAGTTTTGGTTAACAGTGGTCAACGCCGGTCAACGGGTTGGGTCAACGGGTCGGGTCGGGTCAACGGGTCGGGTCGGGTTGTGATCGGTCAAACCGGTCAAAATAGTTCCAAAACCGGTCAAACCGGTCACTTTTTCCTTCCCCATGCGCAGTGGCGGCGCGTGGGAGCGCGTGAATAATGATAAATTCCCGGAACAATTCATAAAAATTATTTTGAGCGATTTCGAGATACTTACAAAGCTCGGTTCATAATTTTGAATGGCGGAGAGCTCGATTTCAACAATCGGAAACTTTGATTGCTTCACCTCCTCACGCGCCGTCGTCGACGGAGACCAAGGATGACAACGGTAGACTCGGAACGATGCAAGGAACACGATGGTGCGGAAGGTGTCGTAAACGGATGCTCGGATCGTCATGAATCGAGGAAAAACCAATTGAAATTGAGTTATTACCGACGATACTTCCGACTGAAATTAACTACGAACGGCGTCGATTCACGATGAAAAGTTTAAGGGGTTTTGTTCCTCGGTTGAAAATGAACACGATGGTGGTTTTGGCTCATCGATCGAAGGTCGGACGGCGAGTAGATTGGAATTGAAAGGAGGGTTGTTGGAGAAGGGAAAACTGGAAAAATGAGAACCTGCGCACGGGGAGGGGTTTATAATTCAACTCATAATAAAAATGGGTAAACCATGAGTTTAGATACTGAATTTCCTTCACTTTATAAAACGGTCTGCCAACTTTAAAACTTTACAATTTAATCCACCATTTCTTTCAAAATACCAATTAAAATCATCATTTTATAATTTCTTAAAATTTTGCCCCTAAATTGGGGTGTTACAATTTTCATTTATTTTTATTTTTAAAAATTAGATACCAAATTAATTTAGATAAAGTACACAAATGGTCCTCTGATTATAAGATATTGCTTTATTAAGTCCATCGACTATTAAAAGTTATAAAATGATCATTCGACTATAATGTGTTGCTTTATTGAGTCACTCAACTATTAAAAATTACAAAATGGTCACTGACTATTCATTATATTACAAATTCTTCCTTTTCCGTTAAAAAAATTGGCAATATTCTAAACTAAACGTTAACGTGCTAATTGTGATTTGATAAAATATGATCTCAAAATCTCAAACGAATATTATATCTCTGTCATCATGTTAACTTTCAACTTGGACAACTGTTAATTTTTAACATAAAAACATGATTTTGAAACATAATGATTAGTCGGATGATCATTGTGTAACTTTTAATAGTCAAGAGACGTAATAAAGTAACATTCTATAGTTAGATGACCATTTTGTAACTTTTCATAGTCAAGGGACTTAATAAAATAGTACCCTATAATCGAGTGACCATTTGTGTACTTTACCCATAAATTTTTACTAATTTATTTTTGGATTCAAGTTTTCATTTGTTATTAACCAAACATGTTTCCTAATTTTCAAAAAACTGAAAATGAAAATTATTTTCTGAAAACAAAAATAGAAAATATTTTTCTAAACCAAAAGGGACCCAAATTTTTTTTACGGAATAATAATAAGATTCTAAAAATGATATATTTTAAAATATTGATATTTATGATTATTTTATTTATATGTGTGTTTTCATTATAAAATAAGCTTTATTAAATAAAATAACACATAAATTCAAATATAAAATACACAAAATGGAAAAGATAAAAGAGGTTTCAAACTAAAACGGCGAAACAAGTGAACCCAAACTATTCATTAATGCCTTCATCAGCTGGGTTGGACCAGATCCTGATGGAGCAAGCCCTCCTTTCTTTTACTCCATGTCCATTAAGCGATGGAATTTTTACACTTCAATGGTCCATCAAGCGATTAAATATTTTATTTATATTTTAAAAATATTAAACCAACAACCAGTTGATCTAATGAGATGAGGTACTAAGTCCCTTAAACAATGTTAAGGGTTCTAATTCTAACGTTTGTGAATGAAACAAATTGAATTTGGAAGATTGTCTTAGCCTTTGCAGTACTCGATCCCTGAACTTTGGACAGTGCTTGGAGGGTTGAAGATCGCATGAAATTACGGGTTTGAGAAGCTCCAACTCCAGAAGGACAGTTCGGGTGATGGTTACAAACACTTCCTCTGATAACCCTTATTCTTTGGTGCCAGAAGTAGTTAGATTGCTAGATCAAGCCTGACTTGTTGGTTTCATCCTTCTCCGTCTGAAGCGAACATGACAATAAACTTCCTCTCCAAGATTGATAGCGACACCTCTGGGCAACTATATTTGTATACATCAATGCCAGATTCTCTTATTGTTCTACTCAACCATGACATCTGAAGTCCATTGGTTTGTGAAGCGAACATAACAGACTTCTTCTCCAAGATTGATAGCAACACCTCTGATCAACCATCTTTGCGTACATCAATGTTAGATTCTCTTATCGTTCTACTCAACTGTGATATCTTTGGTCCACTTTATGGCCACTTTGGGCATGCCTAATTTAATTCCTTAGGTCCTTTTTAATTTAAAAAAATGCAGTATTTATTCAAAAAAATTCTTAGTCATTAGCAACATGCAGACACTTGCAATTACTCGTACCTGACACCTCAAGATAAAATATTCTCTTTAACCTTTAAGTCACTCGAGGGTTCAAAAACATGAGAAACTTATGATTTTGAATTAGAGTTTTTTTTACATATGATCCAACATTAGTATTATATTTAAAATATTAAACATTAATAATTTGTAACTTTAAAAATAAATAAACTCCCATCAACAATCACCAAAAAGAAAAAAGAAAAAGGTACACAGGCAATAAAGCACGAGCCATGTGACCAAGATTAATAGCCTAGTAGGTGTCCAACACAAAACCCAACATTATTCTGAAGCTCCAACCCTAAAATAATTATCATTAAACAATTATAAAACATATAGCAGGCAGCTTCTGATGAAAACTAAGAGAAAAAGACATGCAAACAAATAGATAGTTCTGATACAGCACCAGAGCAAAATAAAAGTATTCAGCACAACCATGTTAGTTTCAAGGTATTTAAAATACTTTGACCAAATATGGTTAATCTTTGGTGTCGTCTTCTACCCAAGGTTGCAACAAATCAAACGTTGTTTCTTATTTTAAGAGAAAAGGGTAGGGCAAGCAACAAAGGAGCTTTCATGGAGATGATGATGTTTGGCAAGAACTGAAGATTCGAGCTAAAGGACATTTAGCTCAACATTTCTTATTGGCCCCTGTATAAAGGATCCCCCCCCCAATAATTTGGGGTGAATAGAAGGTATATGATGACAACACACTGCACAAGCGTCTGTTCAAACTCGGGTCCTGAAAAACGACATTTTTCATTTACCACTTAGGGGCATTCTCCTCTACGCTTGCTTTAATCAAGTAACCGTTATGTCCCCACAGGAAACCTTACAATTCATAGATGCTTTAACCTAAAAAAAAATTCATAGATGTTTGAACAATAAGGTGTATGGTATTGTATATTCACGGTGCAGTTGAAGGCCAAGGGCACCCCCCCCCCCATGGACATGATTATTTGCTTGATTTAGCACTTCCATATAATCACCTTTTCAGTTGAATCTCAGCATCATCAAGGAAAAATAATAATCCTAACTATACACAAGAAAGCATTCTTTTTAATCATTTGTCATCTGATAAACCACCCGAAAAAAGCGGCATACGGCTCTCATGCTTAAACTGTTCAACATGGTAGGAAAATAGGAAATAGGATTCAAGCATCAAACATATAATCAGAGAACTTGTCAACAATACCAACAAACGTAAAACTAAATTCTGGTAGGTTGTATTTGCAATTTTAGAACTGATTTGTTGTCGAATGTACAACAAATTGTCACCACCTTAACCAGAAAACGAAACTTCTCACCAAAAACCAAAATAAACCAGAATACCATAGCAGAAATATCAATACATCCAGAACGAAAAGTCCACACTAAAATTTTGCAGTCAGATGTTCTCTTCTACCGGGAATTGAAACTATACTAAACAAACAAGCAGAGGAGACATACAAATACAACGATGAACAAGTATTAAGTCATTAAAGCTGCAGAGTTTAACAATTATTGACTTAATTAATGATTCCGGATAGAGTTGATAGATTGTGATTTATGAGTTACCGGAAAAACCAACCTCCCCTGCCTGTCTCTGAGGATGCTACTCAGCACCTCCAAGCTGAAGCTGAGATAAGATCCCTCTGCTGCCAGCAAAGAACAAGCGATGCCCGGCGCTTCTCAACATGAAATCCCCTCACTTGAGACCTCTTTACCACACAATCTGCCTGAGTTTCAGTGAAGTTACTGAATGTCACAGGAGTTAAACCAGCTGAGGAAAAAAGTGTCTTCCAAAGAGGTATCTTTTCAGGTACTTGCAGACGCCCCAACAGGGCGTTTTCAATTCTTGGCACAAGAAGGAACCTCTCGATCTTGTTCACAGCATCGGATGTCACATCACTGGCATCAAGCGATTCTAACAGGTTTATATATGACTGAAAGGCATGGATTACATGTTGTGGGAATGTCAGACCATTTCTATCACACCCTTGGTCTAAAGACACCACAATTTTCGGTGATAGCTGCTTCAAAAAGTGCATAAGATTGGGCAAAGCCGAGGGCTGAATTGAAGAAGACCAAATAGGGAGATTCACAGCAACTGCCTCATTTTCACTTGATCGAAAAATTGGCAAAGGGTAACGGGTTTGAACTAAATAATCAAAGTTCAGCACCAAAAGCTCAAAATTTATGCCAATTTCATTAGCAAACTGCACAAGATTTTCACGCATAAGCTCAAGCTCAATAGGATGGTGTGTTGAAGGTGAGACAAATGCAGTAATTTTCAACATCGGAGCTCCTCCACTCCTCATGGGAAGCTCCTGCATAAAGGAAGCCCACTGAGCACCAAATCCAATATCGAAGTCTACAATGTGAATCTGATCAGCGCCATCAAGAGCTTCAAGGAGAGCCTGATTGCAAGTAAAATTGATGAATTGGATAAGCGGAGAGACTTCAGAGAAGACCTTGTAAGCCCCCATTTTGAAGATAACGTCAAAAGGGGTAGGGTTCCTCGGAGGTGGAGGCGAGACTGGGTTATGCATGAGGAGAAGTAATTGCAAAGCCTCCTTGAAGTAGAAAGCAGCCCTTTGTGAGGGCATACCTACAGGGGAGACCTGGTGATTGAGCCGCGCCAATATCAATTGCGCCTGTGAAAAATTCCCAGTCCCTACCAACTCAGCAGCCTTGTAAAGCTGGTCGAACAATGTGGCTTGTTGAATCTGTTGCTGTGCATTCTCTTCTCCCGGACCCAGTACTTTCTGTCTCTCCACCATCAGCTGCAGCTGCTGCTGTGGAACATACTGGACTCCCTGAGAAAACCCCATGTGCTGTTGCTGCTGTTTTCTCATAAACAACTCACGTTCGGCGTCAGAAAATGGGAGTTTTGAGGTCTGAGAAGAAAGTTCTAAGTTACCAGGATTAAGCCGCTTCAGTAAAGGCTGAAGTAGCTGCTGTTCTTGAGGCAATGGAAAGAAAAAGTTTGGAATTTGGGGATGCTGTTGCTGACCAATCAAAATCTGAGATTTCCCTTCTTGGCTTTCAAGATATTGAACTTGATGCTGCTGTTGGTAAAGCGTAGGCAAAGAATCAGGAATACCAAAATTGCTAGCCGTAGAAGTAAAGTTTGGATCTTGAATATTATTATTGAACCCAACAGTAGCACCAAGAACTTTACGATTGTTAACCAGCTCAAATGAACAACTTTGACTGACCGAACCTATCTTTACATTCTGATTGTTGTTGGCATTTGGCACAAACCCAGAACCAGGAAAACCACCCAAATTAAGAGCAGCACTTGAATTCGCGTTACCAATACCAAAACAAGCAAGGCTAGCAATTGGGTCAGATCCCGGACCCTGATCAGCAACCCGCAACCCTGCATTACCTTCGAAATCAAGACCATTGCTTCCACTCTGAAGCAGCTGTTTGAAACCCAAAAAAGGGTCATCAACGTCACCGGCGAACCAACGCAGAAGCGAGTGGTCTTGACTCATAGGCACGGCTGACTCAGACAGCATAGCACCCCCTGGAACAAGGTCTAGTTCAATCGGGATGGGTTGAAGCTCCGTAACCCATTCTTCTTTATTGTTGCTCGGAACTGTAGTCTCGAGTGGTGCAATGGTAGCCGCCGTAGTGTTGATGTTTCCGGTGGAATTAACTTCTCCACCAGTACCGGCGGCTCCGCCGTTGAAAGAAGAGAGAGTGGAAGCAGATGTGGGTGGGCTTTGGCTTCTTTTCATATGAAGAACAGAACCTGGTCCTTGTCGGTTGTTGCAATAGAAGATGTTTTCAAAGCCAAAGCTATTAGCTTCCAGCTGCTTTATCCACTTGTCTTGTTGACAAATAGAACCAAAACCCGGGAGTTCCACAGCCTCTTTAGCCTGTAACTGAAAGTGCATTTGTACTGTAGCACACAGACAAAGACGCTCGCCGTGTTATCTGGAGAATCGGATAAAATAGAAAGACTATATTTTTACCAACGGCAACACAAAAAATATTTCCTTGCATGTCATGAAATAATCAATCTCCCGACTTCGACAGAGAGAAGAAAAGCAAAAGAACCCGTTTAATCAAAACAGCTCCTTTTTCTCATCCTTCACCTTGCTCTTTCCCAGTATTTTCAGTGCATTTTTTCAGTTCCTCCATCAAAGAAACTTGGTTGCTGCTGTTTGCCACGGCTAAACCATCAACTATGTTGTTTCAATTGTTCTTGATTTGCTTGTTGTTGTTGTGCAGTACTGTGTACCCTTGCTGGTCTGCCAAAGATGCGTGTATCATAAAAAATGGAATAAAGTGCCCTTCTCCCTCTCCCTCTCCCTCTCCCTCTCCCTCTCCCTCTGTAGTCCCTATCTGTCCATCCCTGTCAGTATATTTTCCCTTTTCTGCTTTCTTCTTTTTTATGCACCCATCTTTCCATTTCTCCTTTCTCTATATTCGGCTGGTCCAAATTCAATTTCAATAAATGGGAAATTACTTGATTGCATACTTTAAACTCGGCACATTTTATTACGCAATTTCCGGTAAGGGCTACCTAGAGGGTTTTATTAAACATATATATCTTAATTATTTGTAAAAACAACACTATTCTGATATTATTTAAACATTTTTAAAGTTAAATGACCACAATATAAACAAGAATAAAATTGAATGACCAAAAAAGAAGTTTTCCAATGAAAAGACAAGTGGTAATCTGCAAAAACCATAGGATCTTCCTTTTGGCCTTTGGCTACTCTCCCGTTGCAATTACACAGTATATCCCTCCTTTGCGAGTATCATGCAGACTTGAAAATCTAGTTAGCTTTTTGCTCTCGTGCATACAAATTTGAGATTCGATCTCACGACCATAAGATTAAAAACCTTGCACTCTACTAACTTAACAGGACAGACAATTCCTCTCGGGCATAAACATTTAGCTAAAAAAACTCTAATCATAGCTTTTCGTTGGTTTTGACGCTAAATCCTTAACTTAAACATAATGTAGGGACTAATAACCTGAAATTGACCACTAGTTCATACAGCTGCAGTTAAAGCAGCAGTTAAATGTGGAGTGAAGTGAAAAGAAAATGAAAATCTTGGGTTATTTGACATAATTGACACTAATTTTTTTTAATATCCCTTTTCTGATATCGTTTGACCAATATTTTTTGAAGTAGCACTCTTTTGGCTGAGCTGGCGAAAGGCGCGTACCCGGGAACGCGCTTTATCCGTATTTTCGCTGAGGTGGATGCCACGTGTGGAAGGCGCATCCCCGGGGACGCGCCTTCACTGACTCGACTGCCACATGTGGAAAGCGCATCCCCGGGGACGCGCCTTCCATTAAATGTCATAAATGCCCCCATCCGTTTTCCCTAACTACCCCCCTCCTCCCCAATATAAACCCCCTTAACCCTCCCTCATTCTTCACACCAAAATCATATTCTCCTCTCTTATATAACTCAAATTCTCCAACTATTTGAGTTTTAAATTTGTTATTAGTGGTAAGAAATTTATTTTTATGTTAGTATTTTTTTAAATAGTTATTATATTTTATATTAATATATTTATGTAAATATTATTTTTTTATTAAAATAATATTTATATAATTATTATTTATTTAGAATTATTATTTTTTTTTGCTAATTATATTGTTTTGTCTACAGTTATAATGGAAAACGAAATGCTGTTGTGATTGGATATTGATCATATCTTCAAACATTTTAGCGATATGGTAATATTTTTTATAATTAATATTAATATTTAAATTTATTTTTATTTTAAAGTTATTATGAATTTATATTAATTTTTATTTTTTATAATGTATATTATTTAGGATACTGATCGTATTTTAGAGACTTTTATTAAAAATCCACGTATACCGACACCAGAACGTATTTTACCATATTTGGCTTCTGTCGGGTTCGAGTATATTGCAACAATTATAGGCGGTTGCAAACTCGAACCTGTCCTAATTTCTGCACTAATTGAGAGGTGGAGGCCCGAGACACACACTTTTCACCTTCCATGTGGAGAGGCCACAATTACATTGGAGGATGTCTCTATGCATCTGGGGCTTCCTGTCGACGGAAATATGATGTGTGGTATGGCGGATGGTGATTGGCAATCAATGTGCATTGATTATCTTGGAGCTGCTCCGCCAGAGTTTAATGGAGGTAGAATAGCTTTATCTTGGTTGAAAGCTAATTTTGAGGCCACAGTTTAATGTACATTCTGATGATGACGAGGATGACGTTCCGATAAATACAACACCAGCCGAACTTCCTGCACATATGTATGAGGCTGATTATGATGCAATGTATGAGCCTGAATTTCCAGATCTTCCTGATGTTGGCAACTATGGACTTCAATCATTAGTCAATGACGGTAATTTACATATTGGAATGGAGTTCGCATCGAAGGAAGAAGCAATGATGGCAATAAAGAGTTACAATATTCGTAACTCAGTTAAGTCCCGAGTTGATCGATCTAACACGGAGAAATATGTCTGCTACTGCGTCCAACGTGACAACGGATGTCAATGGATGGTCCGTGTATCAAAAAGGAAGAGGAAGAACAACTTATGGGAACTAACCAAATACAACGGTCCTCATACATGTTGTGCAACAGGTATAAACCAGGATCATCCCAACTTGGACTCCAACATTATTTGTCAAGCAATAATGCCCATTGTGAAGCAAAGCTCTCATATAGCTGTTGCAATGTTGATTTCTGCTATACAGTCACAATATGGGTACACTGTCTCATATAAAAAAGCATGGTTGGCAAAACAGAATGCCATTTGCAAACTTCATGGCGAATGAGATTCCTCTTACAACGAGCTGCCCAGTTGGTTTCATGTTGTGCAAAGACTTAATCCCGGGACAATTGTTGAGTTCGAAACTCAACATCATTACGTGAATGATCGAATGGTTCGCGATCGCTGCCAATTTTACCGTGTCTTTTGGACTTACCCTCATTGTATTAATGCAGTCAAGTACTGTAAACCAGTTGTCCAAATTGATGGTACTTTCTTGTATGGGAAATACAAGCAAGTTTTATTATTGGCTGTGGTCCAAGATGGAAACCGCAATATTCTTCCTGTTGCGTTTGCCCTCGTTCAAGGAGAAGACACTAGTATTGGGCTTTTTTCCTTAAAAATTTACGTTTACATGTTGTCACCAGGGAACGAGTATGCATTGTTTCAGATCGAGGAGCCGGGATAAAAGCAGCAATGGACTCTTTGGGTACAATGTATAGACCTCCACATGTTCAACATCGTTATTGTGTCCGTCATATTGCTGCAAACTATTACGGAAAATACAAGAAGAACGATGAACGTCAGTTAGTCGTGCGGATGGGTATGTTACTTTTTCCCAATTTTTCTATCAATTTCTTATTACTTATTTATACTTCATATTAACTATTACATATTCCTAATGGCTTAGGTTACGAACTCTTACCTCAAAGGTTTGAGTCGATGCTACAAGAGCTGTTTGGCAAAAATAAGAAGGGGTGCGAGTACATTATGGACATCAGCAAAGAAATGTGGACAAATGCATATGACGGGGGGTATCGCTATGGTCATATGACAACAAACTTGGCTGAAGCAATAAATTCAATCTTAAAGGGGGCGCGTCATTTACCAGTCACGGCGTTGGTTAAAACAACTTATTTTCGTTTGGGTCAACTTTTTGCAAAGCTCGGTGGACAAGCTCTTACTTGGATGCAAAACGGACATATTTACCACCCAAGACTAGTAGTTGATTTACAGAAAAAAAGTGGCTACATCAAATGGGATGTTAGTTACAAATTTTTCTCGCACCCGTGAATTATTTCGTGTAACCGAAATGCCACGTCCGCTGCAAGGGATTGAAGCTAACTCTTTCAGAGTTAATCTGCAAGAGAGGTGGTGCGATTGTGATTTCTTTCAAGCACTCAAATATCCATGCTCTCATGTCATTACTGCTTGCTCACATTCGCATTTGGACTACAAAAATTATGTTGATCCCGTATACCAACTTTCACAAGTATTCAAGGTATATGAATTTGAGTTTCCGCCCATAGGAAACGAAAGAGACCCAAATGAGATTTAAACTTGGCTAACAATTGTACCAGATCCATTGCTATTGAGGGACTCAGGTCGTCCAAAATCTACTAGAATACATTGTGATATGGATATTCGGGAGAAGTCAACAGAACAAAAACGATGTGGGCATTGTAGAAACATCGGGCACAATAGAAAAAAAATTTCAGCTCTGTTATCATCATATAACTGTTAACTCTTATGTAATTAATATTGTATTTAAATGAATGTTTTTGTTTCTAATAATTTAATGTTATTGCATTTATATTATTTGTCAATGTATGTACACCTAAATAATTTTTTTTAACTTTTAAATACATAAATATTTTAATATATTTATTTAATATAATAATTAATATTATTAGTTATAATTTTTTTAAAATATAATAATAATTCCACCTTCTAAGTAGAGAAAAATATTAAATTAAACAAACTAAAAGTTATTAAAAAATTTATGTATACGATGATACGTTTCATGTTCTGATTGGAGGATTAAATTTATTAAATTAAATTTTCAATAAGACTAATTTCATAAATTATGTAAGTCTTGAAGATTAAATATGTAATTATACTAATTTATTAACTTATGCATCAATATTTTCGTTAAATATTGATATGAGATGACTAGATTGATAACATTTAAATAATTAACTGATAAAATTAATAGATCGAAAATCAAAATAAAAAATAACAATATAACCATATGTGTAATATTATAATTTTATACATTTTTCCTATAACTATAATAAAGTCAAAATTAATTTTCATATATTGTTATATTATATTAATGTAGATAATTCACTCCACCTTTAACACACATTAACAAAATACATTTGATAATTCTTACATTATAATCGAAACACTTTACATAATATATTATTAATTTATAATAATAATAAAAATAAAATATTTATTATTAAATAAAATACGTGACAGTCGAGCTGGCGAAAGGCGCGTCCCCAATGATGCGCCTTCCACACGTGACATCCAACTCAACGAAAATACGGGTAAGGCGCGTCCCCGAAGACGCGCCTTTCGCCAGCTCAACAGAAAGAGTGCTACTTCGAGAAATATTGATCAAATAATATCAAAAAAGATATATTATAGAAAATTAGTAGTTATGTCAAATAGCCGAAAATCTTGTGGCACTGGCAGGCACAGCTCTGTATTGGACTTTTCAGATTGCTAAGATGGGGCTAAAGGCAGGGCGCCCGT